TCTACTTGGAATCCGGTTTTGGGCTATTCTTTGGCCTGGCTTCTCGTTCTCCGACGTTCAGGACTTGGAAAGAATACCTGTGATACACATGATCTCTGACATCCAGAAATCACCCTCCTCAAAAAAAATGATGATAATAATAGCAATAATACTAAAATCCCCAACCGCCGACCCTACAACGCGTGATCTTCACAACGCCATCAAAATCTGGACCGACCCACGACTATCAACCTGTCGCGGCGGCCGCTCCGATGACAAAACGCACGCCATTACGAGGCTTAACGACCCCGGTGCTAGCAGGCCTCCAAAAACAAACTTCACACATTCCAGACTAATGGCAAGACGAGGCGTGGCGTCCTAGCAGGGCACAGGCGGCCGTAATAGCAGCACCTGTGAGCGCCTCGGCCAGGAAGACTCGCATTAATCCAGAGGCGCCATCTGGGGTTGGGTGGGGGGGAGGGGAAGGGGAAGGGGGGAGGGGATGGGGGGAGAGGTGGGGGGGAGGAGGGGGAAGGAGGGATTTCCCTTCCTGCTTCCGAGTGCGAAACGTTGCGGTTGATTTTCCTTACGGTAGGAAAACCGCGTATGCTTTTCTTTTCTTTTTGCAAACACGGTCTGGATGGCAAGGTGGAAATACTACCGACTTGTTATTTGCTCGTTTATTTGATTTCCATCGCTGTTCTCATTGTCCTAATCACTACCACTATCACCTCACCTTTACTGCTATTATCGCCATTATAATTTCTACCATGACCAACATTAGTACAAATTCTCCTTAAACCCCTTCATGCGATATCTACCCAGCTTTCCAGGGGACCTTCACCTTAGCCCATGACCTTCCCCGCGATGGCAAGGTCTCGCTCCCTCACCTTCTGGATGTTATTCTCACCGTTATTCCGTTTCCGCCACTTCCTGCATCGCCGGAATATTCTCATGCCACTTGTTTCACTTTCATTGTGCTCACTCTTTTGACTTCTTATCGGCAGGTATTATTGCATGAGCTTGTGGACGTATTAATATATTTTTTTATCATTCGACTCATTCTTGGAATACGTTCGAGTATTTTTATTTTTAATCGCTTGAAAGTATAGTCATTAAAGTCAGTCACAGTAAAATCAGTAAAGTCAGCGGCAACGAGAGAGAATGCATTCGCGTGTTCCGGTATCATCTGACATTCGGCGTAACAGAACACCGGCCGGCGCGCGCCTTTAATACGCCGCTGTTCCGCTTCCCTCCGCCGAAACCTTACGTCTTCGCCCCTCGGCTGAGATTGGCTTCCGCTCGCCCTACGAAATGCGGAGAGACTCGTTCAATGCGGAAATTCGGCGAGTGATGTTCTTGCGATATATAGCCCTTGGCGATCGCTCAGGAAAGGTTGTATCGGGATCGTAATTACGTTTCGTTCAAAATGTTACGTTTTTTTTAAATTTTGAAATGCATGTATTCTAACACTAGATCGAGCTTACATCTTCGCTCTAGGCTCTATCGCGTACTGCCCCTGGTTATCCACCGCTCCAATCACGAGCATTTCCTTCTCTCCGATTGCAGAAAAATGCCTCTCCTTCAGGGTGAAAGTGGCTCTCATCTTCCACAAATTGCGATCGAGTCTTCAATCCAGTACTCAATGCCCCATCTCTGCAATGATTTGGCCTCCTCCCGCCCCCCCTTCCCCTGACGCAGCACAGCGTACCCAACCCCACACTTTTTCACCCTTCATCTCACAAACCCTTTGATCCCTCCCTTAAAGCACCTCCTACCTAAGGGTAAGTCTCCGTCTCTCCCTTCCCCCCACCCCCCGGCCCTCCCTTGCGCCAATCTCCCTCGCAGACTCACCACGCCGGGCTGTAGCTGGGTCTGCTTCGGTGCGCCTTCCGCTGCGTCTTTGTCGTCGTCCCCGCTGCTCCGGCTCGGGTTTCTGGGAAAAAATACAGTAAGGGAAATTAATAAAGCAGAAAAAAATAATACGTGGTTAAAAATGTTAAATTAAAGTTGATTGCTTGTCTGCTTACTTGAGGAATGCTGCTGACTGCTTACAAATAGCAAAGGGAAATTAAATTAATATCTTGAATAATCAACATACTGTTTTGTGTCTACAGTAAAAATACGTCAAACCGTAAATCTCGCGATCCGGCCGAAATAACTTTTGGTTTCAATATACTTTTAGATAGACATTATGTCCACTTTTCGTAAACTTATTTAGTAATTATATCATTTTGTCAATCCATGTATAGATATAAATCTCAAACGTAATATAAATAATTGAAAACATCAATGCACAAAATAACAACTAATTATTAATGCTTCTTTATAATCACTCGATTGAATAAGAAAAAAAATAGAGCATTTCTAGTTACGGACCAAATAACGTCTAAGCTTGTGTAGCTCTTGTTTGGGAAACAAATACATTGCTCATTACAAGTGTAAAAAAAATATGACCAATAAATAGATTAACAAAAAAAAAAAGAATAAGTCAACATGTAATAAAAAGACAAGTAAACAGATAAATGAATGAATAAATAGACAAGTAAACAGATAAATGAATGAATGAATAGACGAGTAAACAGATAAATGAATGAATAAATAGACAAACAAATAAACAAATATATAAACTAGATTCACTCCTCTGCACTGCTCGTCTTGCCAGCCTCTCACGAAACTCTATGACGCTGACCGTTGACTCCTGGCATGTAAACCGTCGGGCAGCGTCTCAATGGAAGCATTTGAATGCGAGAGAGCGGCTGTTCTGCGGACGAGTGACAGTGTGTGTATGTTGCTGACGACAGGGTGGGGAAGGGTGGGGGAAGGGTGGGGGGGAGAATGGGGGGGGTAGTACTGCATGGGTCAGGCGGTCACCCTTCCCACACTGCATGAATATGCATCTCGGGAAACACTTAGCAAGAATACCGTGTAACCTAAAAGTGGCGCATTAAAAAAACAATAAAAATAATCAGAGCAAACCGGATTTGCATCACAATATTAGAGGGTCAATTTATATTTTTTTCCTTCTTTATCTCAAAAAAGTTATTATTGTAACTTTAAATATTTAGCCATTTTTCTCGACTCCTTCTAAGAAAGATCTACGTTGATCATGTAACGCCACGTCCTTGCTGCTCCGTGACTCGACGCCTGCAGCGTGACGCGATAACGGAGGGAGTGGGAGGAGGAAGAAGGAAGAAGGGAGGAAGGGAAGGGTAAAAGGAGAAAGAGAGAGAGGTGGAGAAAGAGGAAGAGAAGGAGGGAAGGGAAGAGGTGAAGGAAGGAGGGAGGGAGAGAAGGGCAGAAGGAGGGAGGAGGGGATGAGCGTGCGTGCGTGCAAGCGAGCGAGTGCTAGGGAGCCATATGGTGTCGCGGCCGTTGTGCCTCGGCCACTTCCTCCCCGCCAAGTGAATGAACTTTACCTTCACACCCTTCCAATTATTCCTTTCCCTTTTCACCTTGAATTTATTATCCGCCCTCTGAGCATTCCTGTGCCTTGCGTTTACATATTTGATTACACTGTCCTGATTACATTTATCGCGATGAACTTAAAAAAAGTTTTTGTCAGAAACGTTTGATGTTTTCCATTACATTCGTTATCTTATACAGTCCTTTCAGTTCATATCAACAAGTTCATCAGACTTAAAGGCCTATCTCATGTTTTCTAATTTCAATAACTCATTCGAAAGGTTTGAAAATCAAATATTGCTATCCACTAATTTCATCAAAACTCCCTATCGATCTTTCCTTGTTTCCCGTCTTCTCCTCCATCTTTTCCTATTCTCCTTCCTGTCTTCCATCTTTCCACCTCTCCCTATGTGTCTCTTTTTATCCGCTTCTTCACCTCTTCCCATTCCCCTTCCTACTTCCGCTATTCGGCTTCCTTGCCTCCTCCTTCCCCTATTCTCCCTCTTCCCGTCCACCTCTCCCTATTCTTCTTACTCTCCTTTATCACTTAACCATCCTATTGTTCTTTCTTCCTCCTTCACTCTCCATTATCGCCCTGTTTCATCCACCAGCAAATCACGGTTCCTTCCACACGCCGCCGGCACTTCCTTCCGCTCCTCGTTCTGATCCTTCTTCTCTTCTTCTCTTCTCCTCCTTTCTTCTCCCTCCTTCGTGCCCTTCCTCCACTCCTCTCCTCCTCCTCTCCTACCCCACGCCCCCCATATCCCTCCTTCCACTTCCATTCCCCTTCCTTCCTACCTCTACTCCTCCTCCTCCTCCTCCTCTTTCCCTCCACTTCTTCCCTTCCCCACGTCTTCTTACCTCCCTCCACCCCCCCATCCCCTCTCCACTTCCTTTCCCCCTCCGTCCTCCACTCACTGCCACCACCCCCACCCCCCCTTTCCTCCAGCAACCACCTGACGGCCCGCAATGAGTCAGCTTGTGAGTCTGTCCTCTCCCGCATGCGGTCACGGCAGTCACGAAGGCGAAGGCGAAGGCGAAGGCGAAGGCAAAGGAGAAGATGTTATGGTAGAAGGAGGAGTACGGGAAAAAGGAGAAGAGGGAAAGAAGGAGAAGCCAGAGAGAAGGGAGAAAGGGGAGGAGAAGGAAAGAAGATAGAGAAGATGAGGAGGTAAAGGAGGAAAAGGAAGAAGAATAGCATTAGGAAAAGGGAGAAGAAAAGCGTTAACCGGAGGAATAAAAAGAAGAAGAGGAACACGATAAAGAAGAGAGGAAGAAGACGAGAAAGGAAATAAAAGTAGGAAGAAAAAGAAAAGGAAGAAAATAAGAAAATAGAAGAAGTGGAGAAGCGTGCGAGTGGGACTAGAGGGAAGTGGAAGAGAGGGAGAAGGATTAGAAACAGAATGAGAAGTAGCAGCAATGGAAGAAGGAGCAGGGAGAATAAGAAAAAAAATACCGAATAATAAAAAATGACTAAGAAAAAGTACGAAGACAAGAAGAACGAAAAGTAAAAACAACGAAAGAACACACACACACACACACACACACACACACACACACACACACACACAAAAGAGAGAGACAAAAAAACACACGAGAGAAAGAAGCAAAGAAACGAAACAGAAGAAAAGGAAGAAGAGTGTGAACGAGAATAGGAAAACTTCGAATGAAAAACCCCATCCACGCCCTCACGCCCAGCACCCGAGCAGTGACAACCCACGAACTTGTTACTATTCATGTTACTCACCCAGCTGAAGGGAAGGGGGGGGGTAAGAGGGAGGGACTGGGAGGGAAGGGGTGGGAGTGGGAGGGATGGGAGGGAAGGGGTGGAAGGCAGGAGGGGAGGGTGTGGGAGGGAGGGACTGGGAGGGAAGTGGTGGGAGGGAAGGATTGCGAGTGGGAGGGGGTGGATGGGAGGGAAGGGGTGGGAGGGAGGAGATAGGGAATGGGAAGGAGGGGGGAAGGAGGGAGGAAGGAGGGAGAGGAGGAGGGAAGGAAGCAGGAGGGGGGGGGGTGAGAAGGGAGGGAGGCAGAAGCGTGATAACTCACCGTGACGAAGGGAGGGGCTTACCCAAAAGAGCCTTCTAAGGCAGAGGGGAAGGTTAAGCCAAGGAGGGCAAGGGGAGGGAGTGCGAGGGGAGGGAAGTGGGGGGGAGGGGGATTGCGCCTCAAACCACGTGGTTCCTTAGCAACGTGAAGATATGAGAGGGGATAAAAAGGTATTTTTAGCTTTCGTGAGGTAGGCAAGCATCACGAGAGTGAAATCAGACACGTGTGTGTGTGTGTGTGTGTGTGTGTGTGTGTGTGTGTGTGTGTGTGTGTGTGTGTGTGTGTGTGTGTGTGTGTGTGTGTGTGTGTGTGCATGTGTGTGTGTATGCATATGCGTGTGTGTGTGTGCATATGTGTGTGTGTGTGTGTGTGTGTGTGTGTGTTACAATGCTAACACTTGTGAGTGTAGGGGTGCGTGCGTGCCTGCAATAAAGGAGAGAGAGAGAGAGAGAGAGATAAAGGAAAGGGAGTAAAAATGTCGTAAATATTTCAAGAAACTGCACTTCCTCACATCCGAATCCAGAGGGGAGCGCAGAGGCCCCTCTCCCTCTCCCTCTCCTCTCCCTCTCCCTCTCCGCCCTGGCGCTGAGGAACGAGTGGAAAGCTCAAGAGCCTCATGGCTGTGTTGCGGTTCCCCTTTCCCCTCATCCTCGTCTCCTCTCTTTCTTCCCCTCTCCGTCCACTTATCTCGGCCTCTTGCCATTTCCTTTTCCTTGCCGGCGTGTCGAATCTTTTTGACTCCTCTTCCCCATTTTATCAGCTCCATTCTCTCTTACATATTCCCTCTCTCTCTCTCTCTCTCTCTCCTCTCACTCATTCACCCTTCTTCCCTCCTCCTCCCTTTACCCTTCGTCCTCCCGCCTCAATACTTCATGACCACCTCCCCTTCCCCCTCTCCCTCCCTCCCTCCTCCCTCCCTTCCCCCCTCCCCCTGCCGCCTGCGCCCTCCACGCCGGCCTCTACTATTTATCCAACGGAGCCGAGGGCCCGCATGCGGCTCTTCACGCTGCTTACTAATGCGGAGTACCGTAATGCGATAAAACTCGGGCGGGGATGCTTCTCCCTCGGCGGCTCCATGATAAACAGGGAGATGATGAGAGATGGGAGGGAAAAGTGCAAAGAGGCTTCCTTTGCGTTTATATCTGTGTGCACCTGTTTCTGATGGATTAATTGAACGCGTCGTGCATACACACACATACGTATGCATACCTGTGTAGATACAAGGAAATACGTGTTTATACTGACATAAATGCATACACGCACACATACACAAACATATCCATATATCCATATATGTAGATAAATAAACAGCTAAATAAATGAATAAATATATTTATATTTGTATATATATAAACATATATAAGTATATATATATATATATATATATATATATATATATATATATATATATATATATATATATAAGTATATATATAAATAAATAAATATATATATATGTATATATATATATATATATATATA